GCAGATTTGGCGTCCGAGCTCCGATTAGGACGCAAAATACCATTTCGGAAAGGGAACGACGCCACGAGTCAAACTCACAGCTTTGCTGTGATGTATGATGGATTTTGGCATTCTGAGGTCGTTTGGCCTTCCAAAACCGCATTCAAAGTTTCGTAGTTAATTTTCGGAATAAATTCTGTTTTTCAGTTTTAATGTAATAACTCCCCTAGCAGTTACAAGGGTTGAGAGTTGTGTATTTAGGCAGGTTTGTCTAACGTTTTTGTACACTTCAGTTTTATGAATCAAATAATTCAAAGAGAATTTTCTCTCCAATTTCTTGGTGGATTCCAGATTATCGTTCTTTAGGATTTTCGCTTGAAAATCTATTTGCTTGTGCTGTGTCAGAAATGGCCACCAACAATTTTAGTATTGATAGAATTCTTGGTCAGGGAGGTCAAGGTACCGTTTACAAAGGCATGTTGGCGGATGGAAAAATTGTTGCGGTAAAGAAGTCCAAAATGGTGGACAAAAGCATGCTCTCGGAATTCATCAATGAGGTTGTAATTCTTTCACAAATCAACCACAGAAATGTGGTTCAAATTATGGGTTGTTGTTTAGAGACCGAAGTTCCACTTTTGGTCTACGAATTCATTCCGAATGGAACTCTTTCTCAATATATCCAAGGGCAGATTGAGGAATTCCCACTCACATGGGAAAGGCGGTTGCAAATTGCAACAGAAGTTGCAGGAGCTCTTTCGTACTTACATGGTGCAGCTTCCGTTCCCATATATCATAGAGACATCAAGTCTGCCAACATACTTTTGGATGGAAAATACAGAGCAAAAATTGCTGATTTTGGAACTTCAAGATCAATTTCCATTGATCAAACTCATCTAACCACACGTGTACATGGAACATTTGGTTACTTGGACCCAGAGTACTTTCAATCAAGCCAATTTACGGAGAAAAGTGACGTCTATAGCTTTGGAGTGGTCCTTGTTGAGCTCTTGACAGGGCAAAAACCAATTTCTGCAGTAACATGGTCACAAGAAGAAGAATACAGAAGCCTTGCCGCATATTTCATTACCTCGATGCAAGAAGATCGTCTGTTTAACATTGTTGATGCTCGAGTTCTGAAGGAGGGCTGTGAAACAGAAATCCAGGTTGTCGCTAACCTTGCAAGGAGATGCTTGAATTTGAACGGAAGAAACCGTCCTGCAATGAGAGAGGTTACATCAGAACTAGAGGCTGTACAAATGTCAAGAAAACCTTCCATTAGTGTTGAGCAAAATTCTGAAGGGGTTGATTTTGTAGAAGATGATGCAGTTGGGCATTGGGATGTTGAATCACTTTCAGAAGTGTCGGCTAGCTACTAAAAACATGGGTTTGTTGCCATCTACAAGTTCCCCTCCCCTTCTTGCCTCCTTGTTCCTCCTTTCCTCCCTTTCCCCCCTCCCTCTTTTTGGTTCTTTTTTCTGTTTTTTTTTTTTTTGCTTTTGATAACTTGTGTATACTGCCAGTTGGGATATAAATTGTGAATTTTTTTACAGGTTGAAAATTTGGGAAAAGTCAAATTTACAAGGGAGACTTTGCCGAAATTTCGACAAAAAATCTCAATTTTTAGTAAGTGGGCCCGGCATCGGTATGATGTCGGAATTTTTCACAGGATTCATCTCAGGTTCCGAGGAATTCGGGGCGGGTCCTGTCAAGACTTGCCTAATTTATTTATTAATTTTTGTGATGGACGTCAAATGAAACCACGATATTGGAGTGGTGGAGATGTAGGCAAGTGAAAAGCTAAATCCCTAGAATAAGACATTCGTGTTACATCATGCAGATCGTAAAGAATGACGTTTCATATAGTGATGTCACTCTGATTACCTCATGCTAGGTCTGCCGAGTGTCACAAGTGTCAACCTTGTACACATCCCAGTAAACTTTTAAGGACAACTAATCATTCAGCAATCAAACATATGTTATACGGATAATTCATTCAACAATCAAATATACGATTGAAGACTCCCCCCTCCATAATGGAATTGTTAACTTGTTGCATGTTCTTGATTTACATCATCAAAACAAAACCATGAGATGAGACACTGAATTCAACCTTTTCTGCCAAACATTTCACGACAGCAAACCAAAAAAATTTGAACCGCGCGAGCTCGGGCTCGCGCTGCCCTTGGGCCAGCCCGTCTTTGTAGGTCCCACCTTCAGTCCGGGCAAAAGTGGCCCGCTGGAATTGGCTTTCCCAGCCCCGAGCTTGGGCTCCTCGCTGGAGTTGCTCTTAGGTATTTTACAGGAGTTGAAATGGCATCTAAAACATGTCATTAGACAAATCCCATCCTCTTATTAGCCATGTACTATCATTATTAATTTTCTCCTCACCATCCCCAGATTTCTGTTATATCTCTATCGAAGAATGTAAAGTCACACATCGAAAACTTAAAAAAAAGTAAAACATATATAACTAGTATTGGAATTGAGTTTATTCTAGTACCGGAAAGGTTAATTAGTATTAATTATCTTTTTCACCTTTTGATGAAATTTGAACATATGCGATTCTTATATGTGTGAGTTTGGACTGAAGCATATCTCGGGTCATCATCATTTCAGATATTGATGAATGCAAAGGCAGTAATGAGTGTGGAGGCGATGTGTGTGAGAATTTTGTGGGGGGTTATAGCTGCTACTCAAATATAAATGGCTATCGGTAATAATACTACTACATGCCACTTCAAAACCACATCGGGTCGGGCCTCTGAAAGTGAAATCAAAACTATTATTTTAGGTATATAGTACTCCTATCTTCTTACATCTCTCAAAATAATTATGCTGGGCTACTACTCCTTTCAAAGCCAACGGATGAGTGGCTCTTCAAAGAAGCCAACGGGTGGAGGCATCCAACCAACTCAGAAGACCAGCCATCTTTGCTAGCCTTTCCCTTTCAATTTATCCGCCAATAAACCAAATATAAAGCTGCCGACTGCAACTTTGCATATGGTTCCATTAATATTGAGTCAAATAGTCAATTCCTACCTCCAAGCTGCAGGAAGTACCTCAGCACCTTCCGTAATTTATTTTTATTTTTTTTAGTTTTATCCTATTACAGCGTGCCAGTGAAGGAGGAAGTACTTATTGAGGAGGAAATATGAGTAGTGAAACTTCAACAAATCTGACACAAGCACAGTCTGCATCAACTGCGGCTTGTTTCATTTTCTTTTTTCTAGACACTTGTTTCACACCATTATCTAATCACTAGATACAGTGTATCAAGTATCTTGACTTCACCTATTTCACTTTATCACCAGTCATACCTTGCATGTAGCAATAATTGCATTTGAAATTGTAGTGGAACGATTCTGAATTATTTTCCAACCAGAGATAATAGTGAATTTGCTTTTCTTGACATTTGCTTCAAGTCATCTTGCTTTTCTTGACTCTTGCTTCAAGTCATTGGCTTTGTTGATGAGGAGCCATTCAAATTTTTCAACATTTTTAAGTGTGAAAGGTTTCCCAAGGTGATAAAAATTATATGTTTCCACCAAGACCAAGACCAACACTAGAGAGAGTTTGAGGGTCCTTCAGTTAATATAACCAAATGAAAATGGATTCATTCTCTCCATAAACTATAATAATTTCTACTTTTGAGTGGACTTGACTTGTAAAAGCCATGGATCGAGGAATATGGCATTAATTCCTGCCTCCAAGCTGCAGGAAGTACCTCTGCACCTTCCGTAATTTATTTTTATTTTTTTTAGTTTTATCCTACATTGAGAAGGTTAAGACGTGAGAATGATCATTTGCTTTGCTAATAAAAATTTCAAGCTTTCTACTAGACATCATATAGGAAACTTAAGAAAGGAGGAAGAAGCAAAACAATGGACTTGGTATAATAAGGACCTGAAAGTGCTGAAATTATTTCAATTTGGTTTGAAACTTAACTTTGGTTTCTTTCTAGTCCTTTCTCCATAGACTGATGGGGATGAGCCTAATGTCACGTAATGGCGTAACCAGAAATTTTTCAATGGGTGGGCTAGCTAAAGTTATTAGCTTAAAATCTAATGATAAAGAAGTTTTGGAGATTTGAGTGTTTGGTAAAACCAATTCAACCTGCTTATTTTATAAGTTGCTGTCATTCAAAGCTAAAAAACAGAAGCAGGTGGGGAGCTGCTTCTGAAATCTACTGCCGGGAGAAGCATGCGGAGGCTTTAATGAAACTTTCAAAATGCCCATATTGCCCTTATTTGTTTCACACAATGACATGCTATATCCTCATCATCCCGAGTTCGAACCTCCCAAGTGTCATTCCTCTTGGATTTTCTGGATTGCTCGCCTCATCCTCTTTGTGCAACTTGCTCCTCTTCCTCAATCCATCAAAGCTACCATCTCAACCCAAAACCCCACCAACCCACCTCCCTATTTTACAGACCTAGAATATCTTCTTCCCCTCCAACTAAAAAAAACCTCAACCTTAGCTCCACAGTTTATCATCTCTACGGCAACAAAAAATTCAACACCCAGATTACCAACCAATTATCTCCTTCAGCAAAAGAAGATCAAACTCCCAAGAGGTGGGCATGTAGAAGAAAAGACGAAGAAATTTATAAATAAATAAAAAAAGAAAAAAGAGGGCGGGGGTTGCTGGGAAGGTAGAAGTAAAGAGGAAGAAATTTAAAAAAAAACATGGGAAGGGAAGAAGTCTTGGAAGGAAGAAGAAAAGAGAAAGGAGGAGAAGAGGAAAGGTAAAAAGGTTGAGAGATGGGGGGCCTGGGAAGGAAGAGGAAAAGAGGAAGAAAAGAGAAAAACCAGGAAGGGAGGAAGAAGAAAGAAAGGCAGTGAGGAGGAAGAAACAAATAAAAATGAGAAAAAAGAAAAAAGAAAGGTGTCGGCTGCTTTTGAATTTTTTTTATTTATTTGTTAACTTAAATTATACATTTTTTTTATTTATTTTTTAAAACTTTTATCATCCTACCCTTTTTCGTCATTATACACTCTCACAGCACTTCCATATAAAAGTTTACCAAACACTTTGACATTGTTTTCCATACTCAAAGCACTTTTACAAATACATATTACCAAACACTTAGCTGCTTCATTTTACAGCTGTTTATCTTCACAGCACAGCAGAAGCAGTTTTTTTTAAAAGCACAGCAATACCAAACTAAGCCTTGGTATAATAAGGACCTGAAAGTGCTGAAACTTATTTCAGTTTGGTTTGAAACTTAACTTTGGTTTCTTTCTAGTCGTTTCTCCATAGACTGATGGGGATGAGCCTAATGTCACGCAAATGCGTAACCAGAAATTTTTCAATGGGTGGGCTAGCTAAAGTTATTAGCTTAAAATCTAATGATAATGTTTTTGTATTTACATTTTCTATTATTTTTCTAGAAATAAAAGTATATATTAAATCATGCCAATTGTAAACACAAGAAAAAATAAATTAGAGCTATATTATTCACGAAAGGGTGAAATTTCATTTACAAAACGCAGAAAAGGAAGAACAACACTCACAAGGAGTTTGACTAGTGCTGTAGACGTGCCTAAAAAAAATTCAAATTTTTATCTAATAGGGTTTTTCGTTTTAAGTTTTGAGGGCATCTAAGTCTATTCAAGTGAGTTTTTTTTTATAAAAATTGACATTGACTAAAAGTTGATTTTTTTTTTTTTTTGGTGAAGATTGACTAGATGTCTACACACGTATAGCTAGAAATAATGTACACAATAATTTCCACGCAAATTCATGGGCACAAATCAACGAAATGTAACCTACTTAAGTCAATCCATGTTCCTTTTTGGGGAGCTATATAAAGTTTGATATACATCAATTTGGACTGCAAAAATCAAACTCTGCAATTCAGTTTGATAAATAATAATGAATACCATATCCATTGTTCTGTTGCTATGGTGCATAGTAATAAGTTGCTGGTATGGAGCTGCACCAACCAGTGCAGCATCAGCGCCTATAGCAAAGCCTAATTGCACAACGCATTGTGGAGATGTTGCCATCCCATACCCTTTCGGGATTGGACCTAACAAAGATTGTTACTTCGATGAATGGTTTCAAATAGAGTGCAGGCACACCAACTATACAACCTCAGCTAATTACAGCAGGCAGGCGCCTTTCCTCAAGAGAGTCAACCTGGAGCTGCTAAGTATTTATCCGTTTAAAGATGGCAGGCAATCGGTTCAGGTTAAGAACCCTATTACTTTCTTCAGCTGCGAGGGAAAGGAAACTCGCCAACCCCAGAATTTGACGGGCAGTCCTTTCATTTACTCTCAGACAGACAACATATTCATTGCAGTGAGTTGTGGCCTCTCTGCCACTCTGACCTCAGATCATGGGACTGTCGCAGAATGCGGGTCGATTTGTCGAAACAATACAAACAGCAACTTTCGTAACTGCCTTGGAGGTATTGACTGTTGCCGACGTATTCTTCCAATCACATGGGACAGGCGTAAACACAGCAGCGCTTTTAGTATTGAGATACAATATTCAAATTCATCAACATCAGATCCAATGGGCGATTGCAATTATGCATTTTTGGTTGAGGAAAAGTGGCTTCTGATTAACTTATCGAATGTTCGAGACGTGAAGCATATGGACAACGTTCCTGTGGTGCTAGACTGGATCTTAATCGCACATGACTATGGTGAAAGATTCAGAGAAAATCCAGACCTGACTGGTAACCACTCAACACCCCTTTGCACCAGAAATTGGACTTCTTGGGGCGATTGGGCCACCATGATTTGTGCCTGTCAGTCGGGCATGGAAGGAAATCCTTATCTTCTCCAACCTTGTCAAGGTACGCAAACTGAATCTCTTCTTTCTGGATTTAGATCGATCCTTGATTTCTAATCTAAGTGGGCTACTATAAAAATGTAAAGGTATTTACCCTTGGAAAGAAAATAAAGAGAGGGCCCGAATGGAAATGATTACGTAGAAAGCTTTTATTGAAATCGCTTTCGTTTACCAAATGTTTTCAAAAGAGATTTTGGTTATCTGAAAGTGCTTTAATCATGCGCAAACTTAATCTATTCTTTTTTATTTCTACCCTTCGGTTTTTTTTATGTTAATGCTTGATTTCTAATGTAAGTGTTCTACTAGAAAGGTAAGAGCAGGTTTGGATGAATGGATCAGTTCGTTTGGGGGCTTACTTTAATGAATATGATTTGGATGTTGCCCAAAGCCATTAGGTATTTTACACGAGCTGAAATGGCATCTAAAACATGTCATTAGACAAATCCTGCCCTCTCATTAGCCATGTACCATCACTATTGATTTTCTCCTCACCATCCCCAGGTTTCGGCCAAGACTGAACAAGTCCATGTTCCAATCGGGTGGCCTTGGTTGGTCATATATACAAGGCTTCACGGACAAAAATGTTACTTGAAGTCTATCTTTTTAAGTTCAACCATTAATTGTGAAATTAGCTTTTTTTGTTTGAAATTGTGAAATTACCTTTCTTTGGTCGAAAAATTACTTGTTAGTTTCAAACTTCTGTTCTGCACAAATTTTATCTAGATTACTGATTTGTTATACCTCTATTGAAGAACGTAAAGTCACACACTGAAAACTGAAAAAAATAAGTACAACATATATAACTAGTATTGGAATTGAGTTTATTCTTGTACAGGAAATTTTAATTAGTATTAATTATCTTTTTCACCTTTTGATGAAATTTGAACATATGCGATTCTTATATGTGTGAGTTTGGACTGAAGCATATATCGGGTCATCATCATTTCAGATATTGATGAATGCAAAGGCAGTAAAGTGTGCGGAGGCGATGCATGTGAGAATTTTGCTGGGGGTTATAGCTGCTACTCAAATATAAATGGCCGTATATGTACGCATACGCATTTTGCTGGGGGTAATACTACCACTACATGCCACTTCATAACCACATCGGGTCGGGCCTCTGAAACTATTATTTTAGGTATAAAGTACTCCTATCTTCCACCATGGTAATATTATTCAAAAGTTTTTTTTTTGTTACAATGTTTTTCTAAATGTTTTTGGCTTGGACAAAGGGTTTATTCAATTATTTTCGTGTTTAGAAATGATAATGGATATAATTCAATACATATTGATGCAGGTCTTGGCTCCGGTGTTGGGCTATTGTTACTACTCATTGGTGCATGGTGGGTACACAAAATCGTGAAGAAAAGGAAAACCATTGCACGCGAGAAAATGTTTTTCAAACGAAATGGTGGTTTATTGGTAGAGCAACAATTATCGTCAGGCAAAGTTAATGTTGACAAAATCAAGTTATTCAATTCAAAAGAATTAGAAAAGTCCACCAACAATTTTAGTATTGATAGAATTCTTGGTCATGGAGGTCAAGGTACCGTTTACAAAGGCATGTTGGCAGATGGAAGAATTGTTGCAGTAAAGAAGTCCAAAATGGTGGACAAAAGCATGCTCTCGGAATTCATCAATGAGGTTGTAATTCTTTCACAAATCAACCACAGAAATGTGGTTCAAATTATGGGATGTTGTTTAGAGACTGAAGTTCCACTTTTAGTCTACGAATTCATTCCAAATGGAACTCTTTCTCAATATATCCAAGAGCAGATTGAGGAATTCCCACTCACATGGGACATGCGGTTGCAAATTGCCACAGAAATTGCGGGTGCTCTTTCGTACTTACACAGTGCAGCTTCATTTCCCATTTATCACAGAGACATCAAGTCTGCCAACATACTTTTGGATGAAAAATACAGAGCAAAAATTGCTGATTTTGGAACTTCAAGATCAATTTCCATTGACCAAACTCATCTAACCACATGTGTACATGGAACATTTGGTTACTTGGACCCAGAGTACTTTCAATCAAGCCAATTTACGGAGAAAAGTGACGTCTATAGCTTTGGAGTGGTCCTAGTTGAGCTCTTGACGGGTCAAAAACCAATTTCTGCAGTAACATGGTCACAAGAAAAAGAATACAGAAGTCTTGCCACATATTTCATTACCTCGACGCAAGAAGATCGTCTGTTTAACATTGTTGATGCTCGAGTTCTGAAGGAGGGATCTGAAGCAGAAATCCAGGTAGTCGCTAACCTTGCAAGGAGATGCTTGAATTTGAACGGAAGAAACCGTCCTGCAATGAGAGAGGTTACATCAGAGCTAGAGGCTGTACAAATGTCAAGGAAACCTTCCATTAGTGCTGATCAGCAAAATTCTGAAGGGGTTGATTTTGTGGAAGATGATTCAGTTGGGCATTGGGATGTTGAATCACTTTCAGAAGTGTCGGCTAGCTACTAAAAACATGGGTTTATGCCATTGTTGCCATCTACAAGTTATGGTGAATTCCTTTTAATTGAATAAACTTTGTTTCATTTAACGTTGTTGAACACATATGTTATGTTTTTCTTATGATCTCGATACTTCAACACTTCCTTGTACTTGGGAATAAAAAATAAAATAGAAGTAGCTTAATTTCGTGTATAAACCAAATTTCCCGATATTTCCTAATTTAAAGTAGAAGCCCAAAAATAAAACTCAACTCCCTCCCATCCACTAATCCAACATTTTCTTGTTTGGCTTGTCTTATCATCACTAGAAGCCCAAAAATAAAACTCAACTCCCTCCCATCCATTAATCCATCAATGAATTCAAAGAGATTCAACTAAAAAGATAATGAATGATGGTGTTGGAGACGTGGATGAAGACTGTGAGGAAGATGAGGGGGCTTGAGACCGTAATGAAGATGAGGGAGAAGCCCTTCTAACAACTTTTCTGACAAACATTGCTAGAAGCGCTTTTAGCTCTTTTAGAAAGGTTCAACTTTGGGTGCCATGAGGGGAGGGGGAATCCACCACCACCGTGGTCAGAACCCATTGGCAGGAAGTTTGAATTTTAAATTCATAATAAAAATGGCTTATATATCACATATAAGCCATCGTTAATATACTTTCTTTGGTTATCGAACTAGTTGAAGCCCAAATCAAATTTTTTGGTTTTTTTCGGTTCATTTTGGTTCGGCTCACTAATTTACCGATTCAAATTCCAACCCTATATGCAATCGAATCCCTTAGTTTAACATTATCATTATCAATCTTTAGGTAGAAAATTAAGGGATGAAGTTTTGTAAAAATAATTTTAAACCTCCAAAGTCTTTGTAAAAACATCAAAAACTCTGCCCAAAAAAAAAAAAAAAAACTTCAAGGAGTTCCACTATTTTTTCTTTTTTATTTTTGCTTTTTGCGTCAAAACCCTTTAAAACCCCAAAAGCTCAAATGCCTTTCTCTCTCTCTCGCGAATATCACTAGTTCTGTCTTTTGTTTCCCAAACCCCAATCCATGAAAATGGAGAAATCCTTCACTCTAGTTCAGACAGTTGTCACTGCAACAGTCTTCTCTGCGGTTTCCGGCTGGTACTTTCCAGTTTTCTTTTTTCCCTTACTCTGTGTCACATTATCGGGAATCAGGTTCCCCACATTCCTTTCTTTCAGTACCTGCAATCCGTTCAACCATTGCCCAATTTCTTTTTCGCAGGTACGGGTTCATGTTCGGGAGAGAGTCTGCTCGCAAAGAGCTGGGCAGCTTGATCGACGATCTTCGCCGTCAAAATCCCAACTCCGATCCACCACCACCACCTCATGCTTGAATTCACTGGGGTACTTTTACTGTCACTCCCGAAAGTTTTTTTTTTTTTTTGGTTGTTGTTTCGGTATTAACAATTTTAATTGGGTATGCTGAATTGGGTTTGATTTGTATGTCCTTTAGTTTTGAAGTAATGAGTGATGATTACTAGTAACTGATCTTGGAAAATGTCATGAATTTTTTCAGTGTTCTGATTTGGTGCCTTAAAATTGTAATTGATTTTGGAGTGAGGGAGAGAATGGAATGCCAAATTAAGAAAGAAAAAAAACACAAAAGAAGCTAAAGTATATGATACGAAAAACCTGTTTGACCAATGGGTTTATAGGTTCTCTGTTTTTGTTTTGCCTGTTTTGCACTTTTTACGAACCAAACGTTTGTGATGACTGAAACCCAAAAGAAAGGATGTTTATAATATTCCTGTCAAGATAGAATGCCAACAGTTTGGTTTGTAGCAATGCTGATGGAATGCCAACACATAAGGACTTCAGTATAATCTTTACACAAAAAATAAAGGACTTTAGTATAATTCCAGTGCTGCAACACAAATTTAAATCAGCTATAGGTTACTCATCAAGATTGTTACCTGCTGTAAACCCATCGACATGCTTCATCTACTTCCCTTATTGGTGAAATTTGATGATTTACATGATGATCGTGAATTGGAACCATATGTTCGTATAGCTGATAAAGATCAGTATAGCTGCTTTGATGTATTTATCACCAGCTACACATTTAAGTTCTGATAGTGAAGCCTATATAATATGAGTGAAAAAATGACTTTCTATACACAATTTGTACACGTTTTTCAAGCTACCGTCTGAAAAAAAGAAAAAAGAAAAAGGGTTTTCAAGCATATATCATGCCACCAAACCATTTGTCTCTTCAAATGTTATAAATAGGGAAATGGGCATCAAAACCACAATTCACCAAACCTACCAGTTTAGTTTTTGCAAAACTTCTCTTCAGTCTTGAGCAAAATGGCCACAGCAACAAAGCTACTGCTAACAGACCTCATGTCTGTTGTGAACCATGTCCCCTCAAACTACATTAGGCCCATCTCTGACCGTCCAAATCTCTCTGATGTTCAGATATCAGATGCCTCCTCCATTCCTCTCATTGATCTCAAGGATCTCCATGGCCACAACCACTCTAATATTACCAAACAGATTGGCCTAGCTTGCCAAACTGATGGTTTCTTTCAGGTATATTAATATATCCCATTATTTCATTGATAATTCTTACACATACTGCATGTTTACATAAATGAATGAGTAAACAAAATTATGGAGCAACCCTTTTATATTTGTCAGGTGAAAAATCATGGGGTGCCAGAGGAAATGATCAAAGACATGTTAAGTATAGCAAGTGAGTTTTTCAATTTGCCAGAAAGTGAGAGGTTGAAGATGTACTCAGATGACCCTTCAAAGACCACAAGGCTTTCCACTAGTTTCAATGTCAGGACTGAAAAACTTTCCAACTGGAGGGACTTTCTGAGACTCCATTGCTACCCTCTTGAAGACTATGTCCAAGAATGGCCTAACAATCCCCCATCATTCAGGTAAAAAAAGGGTTCTTGCCTTTTCTGTCAATTGATCAGCATCTTATGCTAATTAATACTCGCAAGGGCTTGTAGGTCAAGTGGTTAAGAATATTTATTCATGCATGTGAGGCCATGTGTTTGATTTCCCTCTCTCCAATATCGCTTGTATCCAACATACTCAATCTCATTTACTTCTAATTAATTAAATTTGGGTCACATAACTGATGATCTGGCACTTTGTTTGTCCACAGGGAGCAAGTGGGTGAGTATTGCACAAGTGTGAGAGGGCTCGTGCTGATATTACTTGGGGCCATATCAGAAAGCTTGGGCTTAGAAAAGAACTATATTGTTGAGGCATTAGGAAAGCAAGGCCAGCATATGGCTTTGAATTACTATCCACCCTGTCCAGAACCAGAGCTTACATATGGATTGCCTGGACATACAGATTGTAACCTAATCACCATCCTTCTCCAAGATGATGTGCCTGGATTGCAGGTCCTTAGAAATGGCAAGTGGGTTGCTGTCAACCCCATTCCCAACACTTTTATTGTCAATATTGGTGACATGATGCAGGTAAAAATTAATTAATATCCCCTAAATATTTGGAAATATTACCTTATTAATAATTAATAAGACCAAAAAAAAGGCAAATTAATTATTATTTTTTTTCTCTTTTTTTTTTTGGTATCAGGTAATTGGCAATGGTAAGTACAGAAGTGTGTTGCACAGAGCTGTGGTTAACTGCAACTCAGAGAGAATATCAATTCCAACCTTCTACTGTCCATCACCTGATGCAGTGATTGGGCCAGCCAAGGACCTGATCAGCCATGATCAACCAGCCATGTACAGGAACTTCACATATGCAGAATACTTTGAGAAATTCTGGAACAGAGGACTTGCAACTTCGTGCTGCTTAGACTTGTTCAAACCCAATTTATGATCATTGATCATGTATGCGAATTGTGCAATTTTATATTAGCTTTGTGCAACTACCCAAAATACCCTCAATAAAATTTTGCCCTTTTTTTGGGTTAATGACGGTTTAGTACTATGTGATTACAGTGGTAAGGCCTGTTAGTCTATGTCCTCTCAATTTTTCTGCCAAATCTCCGGTTAGTTGTCTACATTGTACTTATGGGTCTTACATTTTTACTTTTTTGTTTATGTTTACATGTAATAAAATATTCATACAATATTTAAAAAACAATTAAAAAGAGAAAATATCCAGAGACTAATATGCCTTAAAAGACCTGCGTATTTAATTGTAAAAATCGAGAGGACATGAACTAACATGCCATACAAGTGCAACCACGTGATACTAAACTATAATTAACCTTTTTTTTTCGTTAGTTCTTGCATGCATAAAACATTAACCATGCACAAATCCTGGTGTGCATAGTAGAACGAAGAAAGGTTTATAGATGCAATAGTTGAAGGTGACATAATTTCAAGCATTTAGATGCAGAAATAGTGAGACTTAGGTGGAGCTTGATTTGGGTAAGCCCTTTGCAATCTTTGGAATTTCGAAAATTCTCTTCTTGTCACATCAATGAAAAACAAAATTTCCCCAAAGAGAATCAAATCAAATTGACATTTTGCTTCTGGCGCAGTACACCAGATTCTCGAACACAGTAAGTGTTGCCTGATTATTAAAATGTGAACCCCACAAGGCTGTAAAATATTCCTCCTTATGTCTTTCCCTTGCACTGTGGCTAATGAAGAACACCAAGACTGCAGAATATTTTAATCTTTGTTTTTTGCCCCCCAAGACTGCTGAATATTTTTATTTGGGTCATACTATGGAGACCAACTTGGTATATTAACTTGTGTACTAATTCTCTAATAGAGGTGGAGCCCACCAATACAATGGGTTCTACGCTCTATTAGAGAGTTGGTACACAAGTTGGTATCCCAAGTTGGTCTCCCTAGTATTTTCCTTTTTATTTAGGTACTGATGCAGAATATGGTGCGTTTTATATGAAAAGTGTTTTTGTTCTTACTTAAGAATGATGGAACTCGTCCTTGCATTCTATGTGGTTCCTGTTTTTTTTTATATTACTTTTTCTTGTTTCTTGTGTTCTTGTATGTATTTATCCAAATGGACCAAATAATTTTACTTTGGAATATATTATATATCGGTCCAAGTTGCATCTTGTCTGTAATTACAGGTCCTTTTTTCTTTTTTGGGGGCTAAAAATGTAAAGCAGGTAAGTTTCAAACAAAATTGTTAAATGTAGCAACGTTTGATTGATGTTATTTGGGCTTCCAAAGGCAAACTGACTTGTTCTTCATTTTAAATTTTGACTTTGGATATAATAAAATGGTGCAGTCAAGCCTCCAAAATGGAAGTTACAAAGTCGTAACCAAACCTCATGCATGAATACATATTTAGTCTCATGTCCACAAGGTCAATTTCTTCGTCTAGCAACTAAAAAGTTTCAGAATACTTTGAAACTTCGATAACCATTTTCAATTCTCATGCATATATATAAGTTCAAAACCATAAAAACCAACATACCAACATGAAGGAAAAACAGCTGACAAAAATGTCCACCAATGAAGAAGAGGAAACTCACTCCCAATATGCTATGCAACTAGCAAGCGCATCACTTGTGCCTATGGTGCTCAAAGCAGCCATAGAGCTTGGAGTCTTTGACATACTGCACAGAGCTGGCCCTGGAGCCCTGCTTTCAGCCACCCAAATAGCATCTCAGCTTCCCTCTAACAACAACCCAGGTGCCGATTTGGTTCTTGATCGTATGCTTCGCCTTCTGTCTGCTTACTCTGTTCTCGCTTGCTGTGTCACCTCACACCAAACTGATGGGGAGGCTCTCAGGCTTTATGGGCTGTCACCTGTCTCCAAATATTTCATCAAAAACCAAGATGGTGTGTCATTGGCATCTTTACTATATTTGTGCAATGACAAGGTCATCATAGATAGCTGGTATTTTTCTTTTGAATTTTGAAAAATTCTTGTCACGTTATATGGATACCTTACAATTTAATGTGTACAAATTTTTCCTTTTGTGTTTTTAATGAGTCGTTCTTGTAAACGTGTCAAACTCTGTGTGTGTGTGTGTGTATGTGTTTTTTTTTTTCTCATCAATGTGGTCATCTTCATATATTGTAAATTCTTTAAGAAATTAATTTGGGGTTTCACTGCAGGTTCCATTTGAAAGATGCAGTTTTGGAAGGAGGGCTTCCATTTAGCCAGGCCTATGGAATGAATGTGGTGGAGTACGTTGGGAAGGATGAAAGATTTGGTGGAGTGTTCAAGGACTCAATGAAAGAGTTCAACCCCATTTTTATGAAGAAGATTTTGGAGACTTATAAGGGTTTTGTAGGTCTAAAAACACTGGTAGATGTGGGTGGTGGTGATGGTACTATCCTTAACATGATAATCTCTATGTACCCTGCTATCAAGGGTTTCAACTATGATTTGCCTTCTGTTGTAGAAAAGTCTCCCTCCTATCCTGGTATGATATCAGATTCTTGCTTCCCATCAGACAATTTAGTGTATCACTATTTACTTCACTTTGCTTTGCTGACTTATAGAGGAGTTTTGCTTCAGGTATAGAGCACATTGCAGGAGATATGTTCGTAAGGATCCCATCAGGAGATGCCATTTTCATGAAGGTTAGGGTTGTTAGAATTATCCAAATTCTTCAAAGTACTCAAAAGATTTTTCGATTTCCTACGAAAAGTTTGCTATCGTAACTTGCAACTAATGTTAATGATTTTAAAAACAGTGGATGCTACATGGCTGGGATGACAAACATTGCTTGATGATACTGAAAAATTGCTATGAGGCCTTGTCAGACCATGGGAAAGTGATACTGGTGGATATGGTGATACCAGAATCTCCTGAAACAAGTCTTTCTGCTAGAAGTTTGTTTCAGTTTGATGTGTACCTGATGAACACTAATGTGACGGGAAAGGAGAGAACAGAGAAAGAATTAGAAAGTTTGGCAAAAGCCGCAGGGTTTTCAAACATTCGAGTTGCATGTTCTGCTTTTACTTTTTCAGTCGTCGAGCTATTTAAAAAGGTGTAATATCCAGTTGGATGTGTTTTATTTTTGTATAATTACTCTTCTTTTCATTTCAATTGCTTGTAATTCTTTTCATCATAAAATGCAGCAGATTGCAGGCACAAGTATTTGTGCACAGAGAGATGTACTACATTGTAATCCCTTCCAAATAAAACTATTTTTTCAGTAAGAAATATATAAGAGCAAACCAAAGAGAGTATATACGATCTATCAACTGTGGAAAAGAATTGAAGTCTGAAAAATGCCCAACCCACCTAATTCCAACACTTAAGCTATGAAAGATTATCTCCCTGTCCCTCCAAATCTACCGACGCTCTATCTGAATGGTTATATGACTGATATTATATTCTCTCTTGATATAGTCTATAACCTTTTCAAGTACCATGTCAGCAATAGCATCCGGCTTCATGATAACATGGCAAGCCATTAACACCTTGCCAACAGTTATGGCCCATATGTGGAGTTCTTGAACCGCGACTACCTCATCCATCTCACAGAGGCCTTTCTCAAGCTTTGTGGCATCAATCTCTCTAGGAGTGCTCTCCATCAGAACCTCCAAAATGTTTCACAGCATCCTGATTGTTGTCCCCAGCACAATCAACGAAAATACAAGGGTGCATATCAGATCAATAATCTTCCACTCAGGCTTGTACCATATAATTCCTCCACCAATCATCACTCCAATACTCTGAATGGAATCCCCAAGTACATGAAGATAAGCCCCCTGCACGTTTATATTTTGTTGCTTCGTCTTTTTAACTTCTGGTTTCTTTTCGCCTTCACAGCCAGGCTTGAGCAGAGGTTCCGTGTGATCATGATTGGAGTGCACCACATGATGATGAGAGTGTGTCGTCACAGTAATCCCATGGCTATGTGTATCATCATGATCCTCATTACTGTTATGGTGATCACCGTGTCCATGACCGTGTCCATAACCATGTCCATGTCCATGATCATGCCCATGATCATGACCCAATAAGAGTGCCATGGAAATGTTAACCACTAAACCAAATGCAGAAACAACAAACGTGAGAAAGCCCTGAACTTCACCAGTATCGTTGGCAAGTCTATTAATGGCTTCGTAAACGAGGATCCTAGCAAGAAGCCAAATCATCTGGATGGAAACAAGAGCACCTAGGATTTCAATCCCGAAGAAGCCATAAGACTGACGAGGTGTTGCCTCCCATCCTGATGCCCAAAGAGAAAACAGAGATATTGCAAATGCTGCAACATCTGACAATAGATGAGCAGCATCAGTCAGAATTGCAAGACTGTTGGATTTAATACCCCCAACAACTTCCACGCTCATGAAAATAACACAAAGTATAACTGCTATCAAAAGCTTCCGCATGGATGCCGACCGTTCCTGTGCATCTTTGGAACTGGTTTTTGTTAGATTTCTTTAATAAATAATCTAGATCTTTCACACAAACATGTAATACGTATAAAGACATGGAAGACATACCTGGAGCCATCTTCCTTGA